TAAGGTAAGTGCCAGGCAGCAGTCTACTAGGCCTGTTCAAGGTCAGCCATCTTGCTTCTGTCTGTCTGGAGGTTGCTTGGGGTCAGGCTGGGTGGATATCTGAGTGTTTCGGGTGTGTGTGTGTGTGTGTGTGTGTGTGTGTGTGTGTGTGTGTGTGTGTGTGTGTGTGTTGGGTCACTGGACTCATTGGGCACAGGTAGAGTTATTAGTCCTTTTCCAGGTACGTCCCAAGCATCCTGGGGCTGGCCACGCTGTCCTGTGGCCTTGAGCTTCGGGGTGGTCCTTGGGTCCCCTTGTCTGTGTTCTGGTGCTGGGATGAGGACCCAGGATCCAGACTAGTGACTTGGTTGCAGGGATTCGGGCTTAGGTCAGCCTCAGTAAGGACTGTCACATCTGCTCTGCAAACATGTAGGTGGAGTACATTCAAGATCCGGACCCCAAGCTGGGTCTCGGGCATGACCAGGGCCCCTCATGCACTGGCTGGCCAGTGGTGTCCCGTGAGGCCCCGCCCTCTGGGTGTTGAGGGGTGGTCGGCTGGGGTAGAGGTACACCTTGGGCCTGCTGACTGCTCCCCACCCTCCCCTACCCACCCACAGCAGACAGAAGGCTTCAGGAAGCGCTGGTTTACCATGGATGACCGGAGACTCATGTACTTCAAAGACCCCCTGGTAAGGAGGGTCTGGTGACTGGCGAGACGATGGGACTGGGGTTCCTCAGGGTTCTAGATTCTAGGGCCTCACCTGGCTGGGTCTGGAGAGGAAGCAGGGAGGACAGCCTGGGAGGAGGGGTTCCCTCGTCACGCCCCAGCCTCTCCTCACCCGCAGGATGCCTTTGCCCGAGGGGAAGTCTTCATTGGCAGTAAGGAAAGTGGTTACACAGTGCTGGAGGGGCTCCCACCATCTACCCAGGGCCACCACTGGCCCCACGGCATCACCATTGTCACCCCCGACCGCAAATTCCTGTTCACCTGTGAGACGGAGGCAGACCAGCGGGAGTGGATCGCAGCCTTCCAGAAGGTGGTGGACAGGCCCATGCTGCCTCAGGAGTACGCAGGTGAGGGGTGTAGGTGCGGGGTAGGAGGGTGTCGGGGAGGGTCATGGGTGAAGTGGGGCTCAGCGTCTGCACCCTGAGCCCCAGGCGGGCTGTGGAGGGGAGGCTGCGGGCTGTGGGGGGAGGCTGAACGAACGGGCAGCTCCCAAGGCTGGACCATTCCTGTTTCTAGTGGAAGCCCACTTCAAGCATAAACCCTAAGGAAGAGAGTCCGGAGGCCCCAGGATTCTGCATTCACGCGGCTGGACAGGCGGCACTGGACAGTGGGGGAGCCCAGCCTCCTGGCCCACACCCTGCTCCTTGGTGCAGCCCAGGCATGGCCAGGTGGGGCTCAGGCAAGCCCGTTGGACAGGCATTTCTTCCGAACCTCAGTCAAGTTGAAGGCAGACTTGACTCTGGGCCTCACCTGCCCCTGGCCCTGCCATGCTGCTCCTAGCCACGCCCAGCTGACCCACCCCCTTCCTGCTGCTGGAAGCCCCGCCTCCCTACTTGAGCAGGCCCCTACTAACTCTCCTGGCCTGCGGGGATCTTGGCCTCAGGGCAGGACTTGGTGCTGGGCTGCTGTGGACAGCCGTGGACAGCTGTGGCAGCGGGCTGGCCTGGCTGCTGGGGACTCACTCTGGGACATGCCGCATGCCTCCCCTTCCCTCCCCCACCTCAACAAGTATTTATTGAGCACTGCTGTGTGTCAGTCAGGGATCAAAGGTCAGGGGTCAGCTCTCCTTCCCCTACGACTGACCCAGCTAGGGCACTGGGGGTGTTTTGCCTGGGAGTAGTCCCCCCCCCCAAGAGAACTGTGTGCACAGGCCCGGGGCCCACCTGCTCGGAGCGCCCAGTGCCCTTGGCCAGCTGGCTGGAGCAGCCCGGAGGGAGCCTGCAGGGTGCTGTGCATGGAGCCCAGCAGCGGCTTCCTTGGGAGCCAGGGAGGTCCCCATCTGCTTTGGGCGTCAGTGCCCAGTTCGGTGCTGTCCCCGCTCTGTAACCTGTGCCCCGGCCCTCGAATGACGACCCACCCCAAGAGGTGGCCACGGGCAGGAGCGGCTGCCCCCAGCCCTGATCGCTGCTGGCAGGCCAGTAGTTAAAACCACCTGTATTTATTGCCCTCGCTGCCCTCTGGCCACCCCATCAGCCGGGCTCCCTTCTATGGGGCCCCCAAAGGGCAGGTCCTGGCCGCTGGACAGCTGGGGAGCATTAGAGGGGGATACATCTGTGAGCGATCTGGTCCTCGTCAAAGCTGCGCCCCAGGGAGCTGGGGGAGGGGTCCTTAGTGGGGCTGCTGCTGCCCTGTGTCGTGTCCCCTGGAATAAAGTGTGGCTCTGGCGTGGTCCCTTCTGTGTATTGGTGGCTAAAGTGGGGTGAGAGGGCTGGCAACCCCCTGGCCCTGGCAGCCTCCCGTTGGGCAGTAAGGGACATGAGAGAACCATGTCACTTCCTTGGCAGGCCTGAGACAGAGATGGCCTGACTGCAATCTGTGTCCTGTTACTTCCCAGCCACTATGCAGAGTGTGTGTGTGTGTGTGTGTGTGTGTGTGTGTGTGTGTGTGTGTGTGCGCGTGTGTGCTGCAACCCCAGGAAGGTCCAACCCCAGCAGGGCCCTTGGGCTCCCCTACCACAGCCTATGCACTGAGATCCCTCCTAGGCCACTGCTGCCCACACCTCCTAGCCTTTATGGCCTGTGACAGAGCCTAGGGCGCACACCCCTGGCAAGTGCCTGGACACCCAGCTCCTGCTCAGCCTTGGTCAAGTCTGGAGTGCTTAGGCCAGGTGTGTACCCGTTTCCAGCTGGCCGTCCTCAGCCCTCGCCTGTGCTCCCACTGAAACTGTGTTTGCACGTGGCACCGGACTAGGAGCCTGGGGCTCCTGAACCTATTAGGCAGGCACTCTGCCACCCAGCTATGACCCAAGCCCTTCTCCCACGGCTAAGGCCCTGGGGAGGCAGGAAGCTAGTCAGGGTCCCCATAGCCGCTGGGCTAGTGATGACATTCCAGGGTCCCCTCCCTTCCCCCCTCCAGAACCAACAGGTTCGCCAGTGTCACCTCACTGGTGGGCCTGTTCCAGAGACTTCTGCATGTAGACACGAGTGTACACTGGCAACACTGAGCACCTCGGCATTCGTCCAAGTTCACTAGATGGGAGACGGGCAACTCAAGAGCAGGGCTGTGTCCTTGGGCACCTTCAGCAAGGGGTGAGAGCAGAGCCAGGACCCGGTCTGTGCGAGGGAGGGCTAAGAGGAGGAGGCCTCACCTGCTGACAGCGACGGGCGTGCATCTGGCACAGTGAACTGTGCCATGAAATCCTGAGGAATGGGTGCACGGAGAAGGGACACTGTGTGTTGCAGATACTTTGGGGTGTGAGGAGCACTGTATGTGTGGGCAAGGGGCACTGGTGTGTGTGGGAGGAGCACCGTGGGGCGTGAGTGTATAAGGGGCACTGGTGTGTGTGGGAGGAGCACC